GTGTGTGTGTGTGTGTGTGTGTGTGTGTGTGTGTGTGTGTGTGTGTGTGTGTGTGTGTGTGTGTGTGTGTGTGTGTGTGAGAGAGAAGGAGACAGGACTAAGTGTGCTCTCATGGCGTTTTGTTTTTCATTTGTGCTGTTTCATGTGTCTTTGAGGTAAACAGATGTATGATCTTGACCCAGCTTGACCTCCATGTTTTGAATGGTTTGGAACTTCAAAGTCCTTTGATAATGTCTCTTTAGCAAACAGACATACACAGCCATACATACACTCCTTCAAGTAAATAAAAACACCTGCTGCAAAGCCAAAGCTTCAAATATGTGTAGTTTGGCAGGCTGGTCATTTCATTCCTGTGATACGCAACAAGCAGTAAGNTTTGGAACTTCAAAGTCCTTTGATAATGTCTCTTTAGCAAACAGACATACACAGCCATACATGCACTCCATGCAAAGCCAACGCTACGAATATGTGTAGTTTGGCTGGCTGGTCATTTCATTCCTGTGATACGCAACAAGCAGGTAAAATGAAGAGGCGCTTCTCTGTGGGACAAGAGGTATCTGCTCATGCAGCCCATAACTTCTATGGTAAAATGTCACATCTGGTGATATACAGTAAAAATTACAAATTGAACTAGTTTCCTCCAAAATAAAACCCTGACATTACAAAATGCATGATTATATACCGGTATGGATTAGAGATCAAAAGATGTGGTTATAATGGGAGTGAATGGGACATGTTTGTCCGCGATTGGCTAATGTGGGAGTTTTTTGTTTAAGCTGATTCTGTGCAAAAACTAATGATGCACCAAAATCAATGTTGTTGCTAATCTTTGACATATCCAAGACTCTGATAAAAGAAAAGCCACCCCTCCAACATTTATTATATGGAAATGAACTGCCTTTTTGTGCACATTTTTCATAGAAAATGCAAATTCATGGTTTCAAACTGGCATTTAAAGGGTTACAATCCTGAAAATAATTCAATATTTGGTATTTTTGATCAGGACTGAAGTAGATTTTACTCCCCCATTTTATAGCAGTTTTTGGAAGTGGACATTTTTATCCCGAATGACTAATGTGGGAGTTTTTTGTTCAATCTTATTTTGTGGAAAAACTAATAATGCAGAAAAATCTATTTTGTTGCTAATCTTTGACATATTCAAGACTGTTATAACAATTTAAAAAAGCCATTCCCCAGATATGTATTACATGGAAAATAACTAATTTTCTCTGTTTCTCTTAGATTTCAAATATTGTAATATAATATGAACATCGTCTTTTCCTGGTTTAAAGGTGTGTTTTGAACCTACTGACGGTTCTACGTTTCCCATTACGTTTTCCATTACCTACCTACCATAATTATTTTGATGTTATTAGGTTAAATGTTTTTGTGAAACCATAAAGTCAACAATATAATATTGTTGCAATATCAATGTTGAGGTATTTGGTCACAAATATTGTAATATGTGATTTTCTCCATATTGCTAGCTCTACTGCTGCAACATGTTTGTTTACCTGGTTCTGCTAAGTTCCAAGGCATGTCATTTCCTTCCACAAAGCCATCATGGGCCAGAAAGTGACACGCCTTCTCCTTCTGCTCCATCAGCTGCATTTCTTCATCAAAGGTTAATTCTTTAAATTGGAAAATGAAATACCTGGAGGAGGCAAAGTTACATACTTTAAGATGTTGATAAAAATATAGTATACAAAATGGTTTTATAAAAACTTTAAATAAAAATACATGTCTTTAAAAATCTAAGAATTATTTAAGTTAACAATTAACAGCGAGACTCTTACATTTATGATATTCTATAAAATGTTTCCATAAATGTTTCACATGGTGACTATGATAAGTAAGAAGGTTGGAAAGCCTATATACCTGGAACAGAGAGGGTACTTCCTTGTGATAGGACCCAGTTTAGGCCCCTGATCACAAATACGCTCGTAAAATACATTTCCCACAATGCAGTTAGTTGCCTGTGGAGATAAGAGAGCAGTGGGTGGGGTACTGAATCAAAAATAAATTTGGCAATAAATGAGTTGAAAATAAATCTGATCTTCTGACCAAACCACTCGAAACACACACACACACACACACACACACACACACACACACACACACACACACACACACACACACACACACACACACACACACACACACACACACACACACACACACTCCTTCATCTTGCTGAGAGGTTCCCTCTTCTCTACATCGATACAAAAATCTGGGTATTTCTCAGACTGAGGGATGTCAGACTGACAAAAAGACTATCAACTAACTGATAACACGCAGTTGTGTAACTAAAATTACATTTATATACTGTAAATACTTTACTTAAGTAGCATTTTGAGGTACTAGTACTTTACCCCACAATTCAGAGGTAAATCTTGTACTTTTACTCCACTACCTTTTATTTAATATCTTTGAATTTGACTTTGAATAGTTAAATTAATAATGTGAATTATAATCAACTCTTAAAGAAGACAAACACACACACACACACACACACACACACACACACACACACACACACACACACACACACACACACACACACACACACACACACACACACACACACACACACACACACACACACACACACACACACACACACACCTGCTTGGCATGGTCGTTCATCTCTTTGTACAAATCCAAGTTCATCTCCTCTAGTCCCTTTCTGAAACAGAGACAACACTCCTGGATGTCTGATCGGCTCATACTGGAAACAGAGAAGGAAGTGAGAGAAGTAAGCCATAATTAACTCTTGGCCGAATAACATCATGAAAAACACATTTTTTTGTTATGAGCCTAAGGATCAATTAGTGCGATTGTTTTTTATTGTAGCTTGAGTTGTTCAAACACTTTTAAAGACCAGGGGCCTCATTTATTAAACTTCAAAATGCGTTGACTTTACTAAGAGTGAAGGTATCTGGCAGATGTGAATGCTGCACCTTCAGAAGGTCGACCGTCACCAAAATAGCAAAGAAGTGGTCAGTTTAAACACTGACTACAGAATATCCTATTTTTCCAGGATTTCGTGCCACAAATGGTATGATTGAAAAAAAGACAAAAATCGGGGATATTTGGTTGTAAATCAAAATCTGCTGCATGGACAGATTTGATTTAAATATTTTCAAGACACTTTGTTAATACATATTCTAAAACATATTTCACCACACAGAATCATCAACAAAAAAGTTGATATTTTTATTACTCTGTAAAATCTTGATCCCAGTATCCAACCTTGATGTCCGAGTCACATCAAAAAATAAAGTCCAGTTTGTTAAGGCAAAAGGTCACCTGTGAGGTGTGAAAATATCAAAGGCAGAGTTCATGTCCACTGTGTTTCCAAAGCGTCTGCGTTGAGGGTCCTGCACTATCGTCAGCTGCTTCTTAAAATCTGAACTTGACGCTGACTTGCCACCTAATCTACCTGGATAAAGAAAGATCAATACACACGGCATATCAGCACTCGGAATATTCATTTGTATGCATCTGGTATTTTGTCCATAAGACAAAAAGACAGAATCATTAAAAAAATAATCATAGTATGGTCATCATGGTATTTAAAAAACAGGCAATATAATATACCTTCTATAACAGGTGTTATTATCATCTCAATTTTTCCGTTTCGACTAACACCGTAACCATTAAAATGCACCTTTCCCCTTAATAAATAACTCAATTAAATAATCACATGATCGTGTTTAAGTTCATAATGAAAAATTATTTTGTAAAGGTTGTGTGATACAAATATTTGTTCTCACCAGCCTGCAGTAGCTCTCTGAACTGCTCCACAGCTTCATCCACGCTGACCTGCAGGAACTCCCACAGCCTTAGCCTGTAGAAAACCTCTTGCCACAGGATGCCCCGTAGAGCCTGAAGTGCAGGTGCACACATACACACACACACACACACACATTAATTCTTTAAAAAGAAATTGGAATATCAAGAGAGTGTGATACTAAACTGGCAGCGTTTGTCAGCTGTGAAACAGGTCTTTGAATACATTTGGCGTAAGTCAGTCTTTTAAAGTAAATACGAGACAATTAAGTGCATGTGTGATGATATTCATTTGAACTCAGGTGTGTTAGCCTGTACAATTCAGAATGTTTGGCTGTTGGGTAAGCTTTGAATGAAGTGTGTTTATTTGTGCTGTGGAAGGAGTTTCTAGGTGAAAAAATTGACTGGAGATTTTAGTTTCCAAGCTTTTGGTTTCAAACATATCATGCCTTGTCCTTCAAATCTTTTTCGATTTTTGCAAGACCACAAACCTTTTCTTAATAGAAGCACGACAAAGATTGAGTCAGTATCATAGAATGTATAAGAAGTGAATGGAGTTCAGTATATCAGGTGTCATCATGTTGATTATTGGCTGTTGTCAACAACAAAAAAAATGTTGTACCATAATTTACTCAAAAGGAGGTAATTTACTTTATAAATATGCAAATCTTCTTACTCTTTGTCAAATATGATGTTCTTAACTATTATTTGTATTTAAGGTTAACTGGATATTCTTATTTGTTTTTCTTAATATTTTTCACTTATTCTACTTTGCACTTATTCTTATTTAGTAATCCTTTCAGAAACATGCTTGAGATCCTGAAAGATTGTGTTCTACAGGGGATGGTATAAATTCAAGAACAAACAAACACAAAAAGCTTCATAACTTAAGATTTGTTTTCCTTTTGACCCTCTCAAAGTTAAAACTGCATTATCCTTACCAGCGGTTTGGTTGGTAACAGTATCCACGAAGGTGTTTAATCTCAATGTTTTCTTTAGAAAGCATTTAATTTTGTGCTGTATGGTATTATCCACATTGTTTATGGTGACTGCTTGATATCTCCTTTAAAATAAATACCATCTTAGCAAATACCCAATCAAATTAAATGAGCAGCATCTCGAGCAAAGACAACTAAACACTATTATAAAACTATTTTATCCAGCCAATGACTGTCCCGAGCCCTAAAAGTTGATCCTCTGAACTTTTAAATCGACATTTTGGTGACATCACTGCAGCAAATGGAGAAGATGAACATTGATGGGAGCAGATTGACCAGGCCAAATTTAAAAATAGATAAACACAAACAACAAAGAGATAATAAAAATAGCAGGGGGGCAATGCAAATATATCATATGACTGCAGTAAGTGTGGTGAAATGTTTATAGATATTATTGTCATACAGATGTAGCACTTCATTTCAGACGCCTACCCGTGCGAGTCCGTGATCTACACGGGGTGGGCCCCTGCTGAAAAGGAAAACCCCCCAGCAGGACCTGATACGCCCCCTTGATAAATAAATGTAATTTTAATGAAACCAGCTGCAATGGATCATGGATCCACCAGGGGGAGCCGTGAAAAGCTGCCACACTGGAACTCATGTGAAATAAGCTGATAGATCTACAGGTATCTGATATAGCGGATATTTGTTAAGATCCATATGTCACGGATAGGATCATATTCTGTGCTAAATAAGAGACAAGTAATCATTTACAAAACATCACCATGTTTTTATTTAACAAAATAATGTTGTTAATTCATGTAGGTGTAAGTACAAAACCATCGCTATGTTTTTTCATCAGGAAATGCAGCCCGGCTCAAAGCAACGATTTTCAATCATCATCCTCACGATCATTTAATGCTTATGTTCGCGAATTGAAATGAATGCACTAATACATGTAGTTTAATCCACGTGAGTTTACAACAACAAAAATAATCGCTTTGTTTTTATATCACATCCGACCGGAGGAAAATGCAGCACGGCTCTCACTACCGATAATCCTAATCCCACGGGCAAACAATAATATGTACAGTGTTATTAGTTTACTGTATTATTAGTGTCTAATATTACTGCTATAACAATCACACATTGAGTTGTTAAAATCAGACCGTTGCTTTTTTAAAATCAGACCGTTTTTTTTTTTAAACAGTCTGAATGAAACGGCAGCTCTCAGGTGCCTCAGTTGTGTGTTTCAGTGTTGGTACTAACGTGTTACAAACTAACGCACACAACTACCTTTTGCGGTAACTAATAACTTTACTAGTTACCTATTCCCATTATGTGATCCAACTGAACCGAATCTCCCTGCGGATGTAATTTACAGGCGAATACAGCGATGTCCTCTCACAGTACCATGGAAAAGTGAACGTGACCAGAGGAGTGATGATTGGTTAGACGCCGGGGTAATATTCAGGTAAGCCCAATCAGAGAACAAGAGTTGGGCGGTCTTGCCTTATGGAGGAAAATACACAGACACACCAAACACTTGCTAACCCACAACATACACGGCAACACCCACCACCAGCACACACACTATGGGAGATGCAAGTATCAGCGAGAGCAGCAGTCGCATTTACGAATTGGAGATATAAGACCAGGATATTTCAATTTGTGGGAGAAAGGGACGCACAACATATTACGGTCAAATGTAAACTGTGTGCAGACAGAAAGCATTGTGCCACATGAATACAGCAATGCCAATCTCCTGAAGCCCCCCCCCCCCCCCCCCCCCCCCCCCCCCTCCTAGTAATGTACATGGGGCTATAAAACTGACGCCGAGAAGACCACCGGGCAGTGACCCAGATGAGCCAACAGCCATCTAAACAGCCAAAAACGATTTTTGTATATCCCTCACATGTCACCCAGAGTCAACTAAACAGATTGATTGCTGAAAATAGTTTGTTGTCTTCAGTCAGTCTGACATTTATTATTTATCTAATTGTTGACTTCCAAAGCGCGTAGGCTCTGTTTAATGTTACACTGCCAAAATTAGTGCAGTTGTTGTTAATGTGTCACTGTGGTGATTGACAATTTTCACCCACGGATCTACGTGGGTGGAGTATTGTTCTGCCACGACATTTTAGTGAACCAGACTTCGCGGTGTTCCGCCGGTGGTCTTCGGCTTCCCGGCATGAATGTTGTACAATGTTTTCAGATGCTAAATAAAAGTCTGCTAGTAACCTTGATACCCCGCCTCCGATCCCATCTCTCACACAACCACAACCACTGCCAAAAGAGTGTAGTTTGTTTTTATTTCATATTCACTACTGGAACTTGAT